ACCGAACGGCTAGCTGATTTCAGCCCCCTCACCTTCCGTAAAGAAGTCAATGACTTCTTGTCTGCCAGACTGAGTGTCCCACGACACGTTCGCAATACGATGACTGAAAGCCCAGACCTGCAGAAAGAATATGCAGATGAAAAAGGAAGAGGCAAAGTAGAAAGCTTTAAGGTTGGGGACCTGGTTTTACAAAAACTCTGAAAACCTGCCTACACATCCAGCCTCTGTTATCTTCAGGACGAAGCTTCGTCCACGGTTTGTCGGACCGTTTAAGGTTTTGGCCAAGCGGGGCCTAGCGTATACGCTGAACCTTCCAAAACGGATGCTCACTCGACCGATGTTTTACGTGGGCTTGCTCAAGCCGTACCGGGATTCGGCGCAGTTGAACGCGGAAGCGTTGGCACCGGAGCGGATCCCACGGGCCATCAACCAAAAGCTGATCCAGCGGCTGGTTCTGAGCACAGAGTGCAACAACGTTCATTTCCAATGGCGCCAAGCGCTCCACCGTCGCATGCAGCGACACATTCGCCTGCTTCACGGCTAGGAGTCGCTCCGACAGAGCGCGGTAGTCCTCAAGGTGAGGCAGCCGGCGCACGACGTGCTTCAAATCGTTAAGAGCGTCTGCACAGCGATATGCTACTTCAGCATGACGCTCAGCGGAGCTCCGATCACGAAGGATCTCATTCTCAAGGGCTCGAAAAGCATCACGTGTCACCACCCGCCACCGACTCTTCTCGATGAGAACGGTGACGTCCACTACACGTAGATCGTCTTGTTGGACGACGTCGTCACCAGGGTCAAACCTAATATCTGGTGAAGTGGCGGGGATATCCAGACTCCGAAAACTCGTGGGAGTTTGAGACGCCACTTCGACAAGATTGCCCAGACGCCGTGGACGCTTTTGATCAGAAAGATCAGAACGCTTCGCGCTTCCTGGCAAAAGCCAGGGAGGTGGAAGGACCATGAGCTGAGCTCAAGCAGTGGCCCTGAGCTCTTACGGTCGCAGACACAGAGCTCGCGGGAGCGTTAGGGGTTGACCCGTATGTCGCAGGGCGACCATTCGAAGGAAGTCGACGGCGTGCCTTGAGTTTGGCAAACTCAAAGTGGAGGTGTCGCTCCACACGAACGCCATTTCCTTATGGCTCAACGGTATGTTATACAGTGAGGAAAGCTTTCGGTGCCGTTGCACCCATCGCTCAAAGAGTGCTTCGTCATCTGTAGCGCTTTCGCCAGGGGTGAGCACTACAGGTATTGTCCGCATTGCGGGTAACGAGAGCCACCTCGTTGAGCACTCAGACGAGTGCGATAAGCTTCCAACAGAAATTCTTGTGGAACCAAGAAACGAGCTCGAAGAGCTTACCGTTCGGCAAGCTCACCTTCCGTAATGACCGGGGGCCTAATGGTGTGGAGGCGTAACGGTCGAGCTTCCGCGTTCTTCGTTTCCACAGCAGAATCCGCCGGGCGGAAGCCATATTCCACACGAGGGTCAATGACTGACCGTGGATGGGTGCGCTTATGAGCCGCCTTACGGGCAGCTTTCAGCTGCCGCCTCTGTGCCCCGTCGAGGCCATTGGTGATTACACCACGTCCCTCAGGTGACGAGAAGTCAGGAAACGGATATGGGGTTCGCAAGGCGCGAGCAGGACTCGTCATCCCACGCTGGGGATTATCAGACTCGTAGTCGACCACCTCCACATCCTTAACGCGTAACTGATAGCGTGCGAGGAGCGCGACGCTCGTGCGCTTGGAGCCTAGGATGTACATGCCTCGATGCCGCGGACGCACTGTCCGACATTTCACCGCGTGCGGGAGACGAAGTCGGGCTCTGCCCGTGTGCGCAGTCAGAACCAGCGAGACTTGGTGACTTCAGTGTCATTGACACAAGGCTCATTGAGCACGAAGTCGTTTTGTCCCAACGAACCAAGCTGTAGTGTCTAGCGGACACGCAAGCCTCGGAGGTATTTATCGATTGGAACTGTAAATGCTCTCAATCTTAATGGGGGGAAGTGTGACGGGGTTACACGTACCCTGGTAACAGGGGTGTGTGTCACACGAGATGGGCATGGTGT